TAATTATAGCTATATTTATAACTAGTGTAATACGTATAATAATAATTATACCTATTATAATTATTATAATTATAACTATAATTTTTTTATAATTATGATTATCATTATAATTATATTTAAATTATATATGTGTAATTACATTTCTAATTATTATAATAAACATTAAAATTATAATTATAATTTTAGAAATATTTAAATCAGACCAGATCAGAAGGATTCAGATCAGATCAGAAGGATTCAGATCAGATCAGAAACATTCAGATCAGATCAGGAACATTCAGATCAGATCGGAACATTCAGATCAGATTAGGAACATTCAGATCAGATCAGGAACATTCAGATCAGATCGGGGACATTCAGATCAGATCAGACCAGATCAGATCATATCAGATCAGATCAGAACTTAAAAAATTCCGATCAGAAACATTTAGATCAGGTGAAGAGAACAGCTTCTAAATGGGCGTGACTAACTCTAGTCACAGTCTTTTTTCCGTGACTACGCGTAGTCACGACTTAGTCATGGACACAGTCCGTGACTATCTTGTGACCGGAATAACCACGCTGGCGAGTTAGTCACGCCCGTGATCCGTGACTAATTTTTTTTTTATTTTTTTTTTGAGTTATTGCCTTAAGTAGGACTAAATTATTACTTAAATTCCTAAATAGGAGTATTTACATTTTTATTCCCAAATGGGATCATTGTTACAATTTTACCCTTTTTGTTATTTTAATTGTGCCACACCATCTTCTCGGTTCTTCCCCTCCAACAAGAAACCGTCTGCACTAGACTTCTTCCCAAAAACAATTTTACCCTTTTTGTTATTTTAATTGTGCCACACCACCCTTTTCCATTGTTCATCTTCAACATTGACCTGAGAGCTGATGGTGACATACGACGATTTGCGGTGACAGCAACGACTGGTGACAAGCGGCGAAGGAGTGGCGATGATTGGCGACGACCGGCAACAATTTCAGATCTGGTTTTGAAATTGAAGATCGTTCTTCACTTTCTCTTCCCTCTTCTTAGTCAATTCCTCCACTCACTTTTGTTTCTTTCTTTCTCCCTCACTTTAGATCCTGAAAATCGAGATTTTCATCTCCGTCGCCCCATATGATTTCGCTGTTAACAATTTCTTCATCTTTAAGTTTGTTTTAAAATGCCATTTTCATGGCAGTTTTCTCTTCAAAAATGCCATTTTTTTTAAAATGCCTTTAAAATGGCATTCTCGATTCATATTGGCATTTTGATAAAAGTGTTGGCAGTAGCAGCGGAGGCGGTCAGATGTGGATCGCCGGAGGCTGATCTGCAGCAGTGGCGGCTTGTTTGTAAGAGTGGTGGGCGATGGTGGTCAAATCTAGCTAGATCTACGGCAGTTGGCCAAATCTGATGTGGCAACGCCGTCCATAGACCGGCGGAGATCCGGGCGGAGTGTTAGGAATATTTATGGTGTCCAATCCTGATAAATATCTTTGTATTTGTGTAGCTACTTTGTCTAGATATTTTAGCCCATTGGGATCTTTGTTAGCAATTATTTAACTAGCTTTATTAGAAAATGTGTAAAGTGTGCTATTGGGCCCAATCAATAAAAGAGCCAATCATGCTTATGTCACATCACACATTCCCTAGACATATAAATATTGCCTTTAAGGGAATGTGCGAGAAGGGCTTTTACAGATTTTTCACGTATACATCTAGTAAGAGAGAAAGGCTTCCGCACTGTGTATTTCGAATATTGCTCTGTATTGGAAAACATCATTCTGATATTTGAAAATCTCATTTTCTGCTATTTTTTGGTTTGATCGAGCAGCATTTAATGTTAATATGTGGTTTCTGGACGTTTTCGATCAACATTTGAGATAAAGCAGCCCAGAATTTTGTTTCTGTGTTGTTCGTATTTTCTGATTTTCGCGGGTGGAATATCGAGAACTGTTTCTCGCAGTGAATTTCGAAAACCGTTGGTACAGATTTGTCGAACAGGTTCTCGAAGTGCAGGTTTTCGAAGGAATATCGAAAAGCTTTCTCGATACAGGTTCTCGATAGTAACTTTTCGACAGGAGCTTTTCGATAGGAAGTTCTCGACAGGAGGTTTCTCGATAAGCGATATCGCAAAATATTTCTCGAAGCACAGGTTTTCGAAAGGAACTTGTCGATAGGAACTTCTCGACATCGATTCATCGAAAAACACTTCTCGACAGGAACTTCTCGACATTGATTCATCGAAAAGCACTTCTCGAAGTTATCGAAAACCCATACCGAGAAAGAAAGGCCAAGCATCGAAAAAAGGGAAAGAGGGGCAAAAAAATTGTCTTTTGAGACCCGCTGAATTTTACGGCTATCGTGCCCGCAGGTCGCCCGCGCAGGGGGGGTGCGAATTTTTGATTCTGAACTGAAAGCCGGAATTCTTGTGTGCGCGAGAGCTCCCCTCTTCTCATTCACCTTTTAATACTAAGGGAGGAGTAGTTCATATATAAAGGCTCAAAAGTTCTCTAAGAGTTTAGGTGTGGGAAAGTTAAAGAAGTCTACTTTCCACCTTTGTTTGAAAGTGTACACTTTTCATCTATTTTTTCCAAGAGCTAGTTTGAGCCACTTTAAACTCCAAAGTCCAAAACTCCAACACCAAAGGTGAACCTTACAACCAAAGCTTCCAAAACGTCAGGGGCCTGAGCAGCAAGAGCAGGCGCAGTCGGCTGAACAAAACGAAAAGGACATGTAGAAGCAGGGTGACATGGAGCATAGCATATCTGACAAATAACCGGAGGAGGAACTAAGTTTTCCTCAGCCGACGAAGAGCCTGCATAGCCATCGTTAGTAGAAAAAGTAGATAAGGCATGAGTATAAAGCTTTGACTGAACAGACATACTTGCTGCACCTGGAGCCCCAAGTATGCCGGCGTGTTGTGCACCCCCTGGAAAATAAGCTGGTGGAGGATAGCCATAACCAAAATGTGGAGGATAGCCATAACCACCACGACCACGTTGTCCACGGCCACCACGACCACGTTGCCTGCGGCCACCGCGACCACCGCGGAACCCCCTGCCGCGAGGTGCTGCACCGCCAGGCTGCTGGTGCTGTCCAGCTACCTGCTGTTGCCCGCTGCCCTGCTGCGGCTGGCCTTGTCTCTGCTGCTGCGGTGGTGCCGGTTGAGCCTGCCCGGCAAATGCATGAATGGCAGATTCCTCCTGAGCATTCAAGTACTGAATGGTGCGTTCTTTCTCAAGTAACTTGGTACGAAGATTTTCAAAAGTAAAACTATCCGAAAACAAGTCCACTGATGTGATGAGAGACTCATAATCCCGACCAAGTCCAAGCAAAATATACTGAAATAGCTCACGTTTGGAAACAGGAGCATTAATTGTAGCAAGTCGATCACCAATGTCTTTAATATCACCAAGGTAGTGTTCCATGGACTGATTTGAGCCCTTTTAGAACGAGTCAGTTTACGTTTCAGTTCCATGGAGCAAGACAGACTAGCAGACATAAAGTGTGATTCCAACCGGGTCCAAATAGCAAAAACATTTTTTAAATCATGTACCTCAATTAACACATCTCGAGACAATGTAGCAAACAACCAAGAACACACATTTTGATCCAGTTTAAGCCAATTATAATAATCAGGATTTAAAGTCTCAAGATGATATGCATCATATATATGGAGGAGGGCAGGAATGGAACCATCTAAAATGCCTAGAAAACCATTCGACACAAAAAACGATTCAAACTGAGTACGCCATGTCAAATAATCCTCAACAGCAGCCAGTTTTGTGGTAACAATATTGGTGATATTGAATGCCGAGAACCCAATATTTTTAATTAATTCAGACAGAGATAAACCTGGAGCAGTGACAGCAGCCGGCCTGGACCCAATTGGGCCGAGAGAGGCAGTATACGGAAGAAGACCAACACCCAGAGCTCCAGCAAAGGTGGGGCCTGAAAAACTTGACCCAGAGTTGTCAACGGACGGAATGCTTCCAGCGGTAGTGAAGAATGGAGAAGGTTGTGAACGAGCAGGCGGTGAAGAGGACCGCTGAGCGTGGATTGTCTGCCGAGTAGGAGACCAGTGAAATACCGGTGGGACCCAAATGCCATCGGAGAGAGGCACTGAATTTGCCGGCGGCTGAAACGCCGACATGTAGGAAATAATAGGCGTGCGGAAGAGGGTGGCCGAGAGAGAAGACGGGCCGGCAGGAGCATCATGGTTGACGGTGACAGAGATTGGAATAGATGTCGCAGCAACGGAGGAGAGAACCGGCGCAGACATGGACACCGTGCCTTCGACAGAAGAAGCCTCTGCAGCGGCGGAACTCATGGGAGCAGAGGACGACATATTGGCCGGAAAAAAAATTTAGAGTAAGGAAAGTTTGGCTCTTGATAGAGTTGATACCATGTGAATGTAATTACCAAGCTTAACCATAGAGGTAGCCCTGACAGATATATTTATAGAGAATAAATGTCAAAATTACAAAGAGAGTCCATAATGATAAATAATTATAAAACTACTCTATTATGTTCTACATCATGAAATGAAATACGTCGTATGAACTAAAGGAACGTAACTGCTTGCTCCATAGATGCGTCATTAAGGGAGTGTTTACAATTGCTTCAACTTTAAAGAAGTGATTTTATAAAGTGATTTTGGAAAAAGTGATTAATAGTAAAAGTTGGTAGTGTTTGAGGAAAAAATGATTCTGAAAAAGTAAAAGTTGGTAGTTTTTGGTAAAAGAAGTACTTTTTGTGTGATAGAAAAAGTGAAAAGCAGTTTAAAGCACCCTTCCACCTGTTTCCAGCTTTTACCTTTTAAGTGATTAATTTGAAAACACTCTTTTTAACTTTTTTTAAGCCAAAATCTGAAAAACATTTTTTAATCAACCGCAAACACTCCCTAAGTCCCTAAGATAACTTAAACACACATATTTAATTATGTACATCCAGCCAATTTTCTCTAAAAAAAAAATCATTTACCCTTGTAAATGTCTTACATTCTGCAACTATGTCTATTACGAAGTATATGGCCGGAGTATTTCCATCTATTTAGGCATTTAGCACATCCCAGGCGTCCATATTACAATCTGAGAGAAATCAGGAGGGGCCGTCGGCGTAATTTGGAGTCGAACGGAGTGCTAATTCCAGACCCCTCACAACAGACTCAATATACACACTCGTGCAATATGATTACATAGGAGTAGTATATTATTATTATTATTATTATTATTATTATTATTACTCCGTATTATTATTATTATTATTTATTATTATTATATGTATATATATCCACGAAACGGTTAGAAGAACTATGTTCCCGCTTACTCCCCTTCATTTTATACATGACTAGCTGTCTCATTTGCTGCTGTACGTTCACCAGAATATTTCCGGCTTACTCTTCCCTCTCCCGCCAGCTGCACTAATCATCACCTCGTTTTCCTCCGCACAGTCATCGCCATCATCGGTATCTCTTCAATCCTGTCTTTCTCCCTCAATCGATGTGTTGTTCTAAACTTTGGTGCTGAGATACAGCTGCTGGTGTTTTACTAGAATTTTACTGTGACTTTGCTATGAGATTTGATCAGAAATTGTGGCTAGCTGATTAGAGCGTGATTCTTATGTCAATCGTTCTCGTTATTCACTTATTGCTGTACAGGTTTTGCTAGCATTGTGAACAAATTGTTGTTGTTTATACTCATTTTGACTGAAAATGGTTGGCAGCGAAGTGAATTTGGCTCACAATTTGATGGTTGCTTAGGTTGAAGGTTGATTGAATAGGATATTATTATGCATGTGTATATCCACGGAACGGTTTCCTATTCCATTAATACAGCATGTGGAGTTTGACTAGAATTTGACTGTGACTTTGATATGAGATTTGATCAGACATTCTAGCTAGCTGATTAGAGCGTGATTCTTATGTCAATTGCTCTCGTTATTCACTTATTGCTGTACAGATTTTGCTAGCATTGTGAACAAATTATTGTTGTTTATACTCATTTTGACTGAAAATGGTTGGCAGCGAAGTGAATTTGGCTCACAATTTGATGGCTGCTTAGGTTGGAGGTTGATTAAATAGGATATTATTATGCATGTATATATCCACGGAATGGTTTCCTATTCCATTAATACAGCAGGTGGAGTTTGACTAGAATTTTACTGTGACTTTGATATGAGATTTGATCAGACATTCTAGCTAGCTGATTAGAGCGTGATTCTTATGTCAATTGCTCTCGTTATTCACTTATTGCTGTACAGATTTTGCTAGCATTGTGAACAAATTGTGGTTGTTATACTCATTTTGACTGAAAATGGTTGGCAGCGAACAGAATTTGGCTCAAAATTTGATTATTGCTTAGGTTACAGGTTAATTGAATAGGACATTATTATGCATGTATATAGTAGAATTAGAAGCATTATGTTTCTGCTTACTTCCCTTCATTTTATACATGACTAGCTGTCTCATTTGCTCCTGTATGTTCACCAGAATTTTTCCGGCTTACTCTTCCCTCTCCTGCCAGCTGCACTGAATCTTCACCTCGTTTTCTTCTGCACAGTCATCGCCATCATCGGTATCTCTTCAATCCTGTCTTTCTCCCTCAATCTCTTTTGTATGTAATATGTGTGTATATATATTTATCTCGCCTGGCCTGCTTGCTTCATATAAATCTGTGTATACCAACTGATATAGATCGATGTATTGTTCTAAACTTTGGTGCTGAGATACAGCTGCTGGTGTTGTACTAGAATTTACTAGAATTTGACTGTGACTTTGATATGAGATTTGATCAGACATTGTTGCTAGCTGATAAGAGCGTGATTCTTATTTCAATCGTTCTCGATATTTGCTTATTGCTGTACAGAATTTGCTAGCACTGCGAACAAATTGTTGTTGTTGTACTCATTTTGACCGAAAATGGTTGACAGCGAAGAGAATTTGGCTCACAATTTGATTGTGCTTAGGTTGAAGGTTGATTGAATAGGATATGTGCTTGCGATTTAAATGTAATGTAGTAATCAATGGCGATATTTAGTAGTATATTCCATGTTGGTTATATATGAACGCGGAATTTGAGAACGATAGTGCATCGCGAAGTTCCGTATAGAATTTCAAACTTCTCTGTATGTGTGAGAGTTAAAAATTTAAAATTTCCTGATAAATATACAGTCTGCTAAACTTCTTTCCTTTTTCTTGCCACAGCTCTGTTCATTTGCAATGCAGTCTTTATTCCTTACTTCTGTGGTTACCCTCAACCTTAAGCCTCGATCCGCCATCCCTCTCTTACAGAGGTCTCTGTCTGCCCCATCGCTCCATCCATCACCTTTGTCTTTGAAGAACCACTCTATCCAAACAAAAGCGTCTGGTAGTCACAGTGGTGGTTATGCTATAGATGATGATAAAAAGAAAATTGGTTCTGCAAGTGATGCTTCTAACTCTATCTCTATTGACCCTAAGACGATGACAAGGGGATCACTTTTGTTTGGTACCATGTACTTCCTGCATTACGGCAGGATTGTACTAAAAAAATTTGGTCTTTTAAACAAGATTTCTTTTTCGATCCTTCTTTTGGCATCCATGTTGTTTGCAGCATCATTTCTGTTTTTTTTATCTCAAAGAGAAAAACAGAGTTCCTCTTCAATAGCGGCTGATACTGCAAAATGTGTGGCTACACTCAAAGGGATCAGCACACTTGTTGAGGCTGTATTTGACTTTCAGAAGGAAGCTGAATTCATAATGCCCAAGAGACATTGCTGGATAGGTTTTGCCACATTTATGTGCGTGTTATGTATGTTCTGCAAGCCAGCCCCATCCCCAGCCCCATCCCCATCCCCATCCCCATCCCCAGCCCCATCCCCAGCCCCATCCCCATCCCCATCCCCAGCTCCAGCCCCAACTCCAACCCCAACCCCAGCCCCAGCCCCATTCCCTAAAGAGCCTGAAAACACATGAGGTAATGTCCAGGTTTCATTTGTGACTTTGTGTTCTATTAGTACATGAATGGACACCTACCATTCAACAAAGTAAAATTCAATTATTGTATTTGATGAAAATATGAAATAAGTAACATGAGTATCAATCAAGCATTTCACATGATGATGACAAATTTACAATAATTCAAAATAACTTTAAAAAAAAATCAAACTATCTACTTGTTTTCCTCCATCCCTATTTAATGTTTTTGTATTCTTTAACCGTGCAACAGGGAAGATGCTGAGTAACCTAAAGGTTTTGGTCATAGCACATTTCTTGAAGATAATCATGAGGAGACTGTTTTCAATACATCAAGTGTGATCTAGAAGGATCTATTGCTATTTGTACACACTGAGTTTTGTTACTGTTCCATCAATGACTTCAGTTTACAATTAATATGCCTAGAATAACTATAAGCAAAAGTATAACTGTGCTTCTTACTTTGATGAAAGACCCATGCCACTTTGTTTTTAAAATGAAAAAACAGAACACTGTTATCACATTCAGTTTGGCAAATAACATATATGAACCCTTAGGGTATTACTTTTCCTGGCTAATAATTTAGAAATATTACATAAATACATGAAAGACGGAAGACTAATCTGCCTCTACAGGCAGCCTTGAGCTGAAGGTAGTACATGGTTTCTAATTGAATAAGCATGACACCTCACATTTGGATGTACTAACATCACACATAGGTACTAACATCACACATAGGTTTTTTTTAACTTTCTCCCATATCGGAGAACATGTTGCCGCTTTTGTCCATTTTTGCACAAGTAGACTAAAAAAGTTAAATCAGAATTTCAAATCACGATTATGACTATTAAATCCAAATCCGAAGCATAAAAAATCTTGAAGTAGTAAATATATTTACTGAACTTTTATGTTATTTTTTTGGAGGCATTGATGTTATGAAATATGAATAATGCTACTCTTAAAGGTTCATAATATATGCTCCTTTTTAGAATGTATTGCTGGTGCTAAACTAAAGTCTACCAATTGGAATAAAGTTTAAGCGAAGTCTCTGTGAAAGTGAAAACTGAAATCCGTACTCTTTTTGTTGAAAAAAGTTTTATTATTTGCTAACTTTCCTTTTGGGACAAGCCAACCAGTTTTTTTGCTACTGATGCAAAATTTCAACATGTAATCTCAAATTGTTCTATCCAATTCCAACATTTTTTGGAGAGGTGTAGTTTGAGACACATAGTTTAGCAGCATCTGGCAAATCAACCATTGCTTTGCATATGATACAAAAGTTCTTCTCATATGTCTAACTGGTTGTATTTCTATTACACTTGAACACTTTTATCTTAATAAAATCTTATTTGTGGAATTGTGACCCAAAGTGTTGTTTACTAAGCAAAACCGAAGAAGTGAAAGAAAACCCACACAAGACTTTTATAAGAATTTAATGAAAAACAATCTATTACTACACTACTGTTCATAAACAATTGTACTATGGAGCTACATTGTTATACTATATGCCATAGCATTTAAATAATAGGAAAATAACAAGGGAAAAGGGGCAAAAACACCCCTCAAGTTGCCATCAAAGGAGTTCTATACCCATAAACTTAATTTTTGAGCAAAAATCTCTAAGAAACCTCAAAAGAGGGCAAAAACCCCCCAACTAACCGAAACAGGTTAACAAAACATTTGTCCGTTAAATAAGCTCAGTTTGCTCATGCATATACCAGTTATACCTGATATACGTATATAAAACAACTACTCTGTATGTTCGTATATTCTTGTGTTTGATATGAGTACGTATTTCTTTTAAATTGTAGCTAGCTTGTGCTACATTGAATACAAGAATCTGGAAGATTTTGGTCCTCAAATCACCACATGTGCCACCCCTGTCACCCAACAAAATATACGAAGTATTTATTTTAGATTTACATTATAGGAAATTTCTCGGGGTGTATGACTAAAATATATCGAGTATCCCTAAATATGACTAGCTATGTTTTTAAATATTTGTATGACTAAAAAGCAAAAATAAAAATAAAAATGTGCTCATATTAAAATGTTAAACGATAAAAAAAAAACCTTATTAAAAATGTGGATTTTATATTATTCGCATGGGGGTTGTGGGTGCCGCGGCAAGGAGGGCGGTGAGGCACCGCGACATAGGAACTGTGACGGCGGCGTCGGTCAGACGCGTAGGCATGAGGACGGCCATGGTATGGGGGCGGTCAGTGCCGCGGCGACAAGGGCGACGGGTGCTCGGCGACAGGGGTGGCAGGTGCGCGGCGACAGGGATCACGTTTTTATTTGTTCTAATGCTAAAATAATTTAACTTTCTACTTGTTTAATAAATCGTTTTTTAAAAAGTCAGATCTAAATGAATTTTAAAGTTGATCACAAGTATTTGTACATTGAATTAGGAAATTATCCTAAACATGATTTAACATAAATATATTTAATAGGAATGAAATTTAAATCATCCGTAAATAGGACTGATTAAACAATAACTTTCTACCTTTAATAACCCTAATCTAATTAAATAATTGTCCCCCCACTTTTCATATCCTAAAGTAATTTTCACTAAAAATATGTAGTTGGTCAAAATTTTAGAGCACGTTTGGTAATACCCAAATCAGCTGTATTGGTTGTTTCTTCTGAAATTTATGAACTTCTGGTTGAAATGGTTGAATTGGCAGATCGTGCCGATTTATATAAATATTATACTCTCTCCAGTTCACATTAATCTTTACACTTTCCTTTTTGGGAAATATCACATTAAACTTTAGTACTTTACACCCTCATTTGCCTTACAAATCTACACCAAACAGTATCAAACAATGTCAAAGAGTGTACTCTACAATAAAGTCAAATTTATTTCCTTAATATATGTGAAGTCAAAGTGTAAAGATTAATGTGAAGCATAGGGAGTATTTAAAATATATTTTATTAATAAAATAAAGAAAATATTATATGAAAACAATTGAAACGATCATCCATAGTAATTTCCGTCAATACAGCCAGAAAAGTAACTAAAACCTTATTTTTTCTTATTAGTACACAATTTAGCACGCGAAATAAAAAGTTACATGTTTAGTGAAAAATTGACTGATAGGACTGATAAGTCGAAAAACCTTATCACCAAATGGGCTCTTAAATATGACAAAGTTTTTTGGGACGGGGGTAGTATTTAATAGTGATTGGTATTTTACAATATTGGTATTTTATAGTAAATTTAAATTAAATATTATAGTTTTCAAAAAAATAATTAAATAAAACATTATAAAATTGAGATTTTATAGAATATCTCAAATCAATGAGTTATTGTAGTGTTTATTTGTCCAAATAAAGATAAATGAGTATAGACGATTCCCCTTTTCCCTTTGTTATCTATACGGCGTATAATTATAAAAGTTAGCATCTTAAACGGCTGCATGCTCCGTTAGTTAAAGGGGCCTTTTTGCTCCGTTTTCTGGTTTCTTAAAGATTTTTGCCCAAAAATAAAGTTTGTGGGCATACATCTCCTTTGTGGGCAACTTAAGTGTGTTTTTGCCCCTTTTCCCAAATAACAAATGTGTTACTCTCTATTGTTTGTTCTGGTAAAGGCAAAGGATAGGTACAAATTAAAAGCATCACAAGAGAAATACCAACCTAATCAACTTTCTACTTCTCAGTTTGGTGAGTGAAAGTCATAAAGTAATCAACTTAATAAGGAGGGGGAATGTTCTTAGATACATTGACATTTCCCAGGTGTTCATTGAGATATATGCCTCTTACTACGTCCCAATGTTAATTTTAAATGCAAACGAGTAATCGACAACACACAAGTATCACATAACATCATATATTGAAAATCGTTTTCAGATGAATAAATACCACAGATGTTTTGGAAACACAACACTATAATAATTAACCAATATACTCTTAACGAAACTAACCACCACCTGCATTGATTTCAGAAAGGAAATCATATGCTTTTTCATTCAAAAAAATGCCCACCATGATAAAATTAGGAAATTTGTTCTTAAGAACTGCAAAATGGCACCCTAAAGAAGAAAATAAAACAGATAAAGTAGATCCTCTGTCCGAGCCTGCCAAACCACACGATCACCCTAGCCTTGCTTGCACTGCCATGGTTCAGGAGGGGGACGTGCCCGCCGCTCATCCGCCTCCATAGTCAAAATTTTGTATTGATCCGTCAGACATTGAATTGTAGCCAGATTACCATGTCTTCTGCAATTCCACGTAACTGCACGCATCTTCCTCCTTCGAAGAACAAGGGTTGCCGCTGAACAAGGGACTTCCAAGAGGACTCGTTGATGGAGCAGAAAATCCCTTGTTGTTGCAGAACCGAGGCGAAACAATGGATTCGCAGAATCCCTTGCTACTGCATCCTCAGCCGACATTGCTGAATTCCGATCTCACAAAAAGTCCAAACAATTCGAAAGAAAAATCCAAACAATCCGAAAGCAAAATCCTGTTAGAACCTGCAATTCTAGTCTTAACAGATCACAGAATTGATTCAAGAACTCAAGGCAACTTTTATTACTTAGGCAACAAGATAGAGATACAACTCTGATCTTCCCCACTCCAGATTAAGAGTCAAAAACAACCTCTATACAACACCCAGCCGTATGCTATTTATAGTAAGAAAGGATAACAACAGGTAGTTATTAGCTACTAACAAACTTAACTAATAACCGACCTTTCTTTCTCCTATACTATACTTTACCAAAGTATTTATCCCCTCTATTCGAATTAGTAAAGTCCCTATCAATTCTTCCCTCCTAAAAATCCAACTTGCCCTCAAGTTGGAAAGTGTTGTTTGATGTTATGTTCTGTCTCCCAAGAATCTTCAAATTCCGGAAGATCTCGCCAATGTATCAAAACTTCCTTCTCTCTAGCTGACTTTCTTCTGACACCCTTCACTTCCTCAGGCCATACCAATAATTCACAATCCTCAGTTAAACATTTATGAAGATCTTGGCAGAAGCTTGCAGGTTTCAACTCCTTCAAAAGGGATATATGAAAGACTGGATGGATCTTGCACCCCATAGGTAGCTGTAGTTTGAAAGCCACAGGATTTATTTCTTCTAGGATCTCATAGGGTCCATAGAACCTGGGACTCGGTTTCTAGTTAATCCTCCGAGCTAAACTTCTCATCTTGTATGACTGTATCTTCAAATATACCCAACCTTTCAACTTCATCTTCATTATTATGCATCTTCCTTCCCAATACCTCACTGAATCCTAGATTTGTAGCTTGAATACTTGAAACTTCATTTTCCTGTTCTTCACAGTCAGTAGGAGCAGAAGCAAAATTCTAGTGGCAGAATACTCCTGGTCCTTACTTATAAACTCTTCAAAAAAATCATTAACCCATTGAAGAAGCACAACATTACTTATTGAATCTCCATCTTGTTTTGGACTTATTGTTCCAACTGGTTCTGCAAGAACCAAGTAAGTACACGATTTTATCAAATCCAGATATTCTGAGGAACAATCAGCCAGAACCCAAAACAAAG